ATTCATATTGTACCGTTGTTGTGTCTGATGATATATTTTTACTTTAATGGAACAATTCAAATTATTTCAGCACCTAAATATCTATATCTAAAATTCATTGTTCATTTATACATATCTAGGATTTCAAATTTCAAATTAGCTTTTTCATCACAAATCTAAGTGTATTCTTAATTTCCTAAGTTTTCTAATGTGACATCATTGTTTTTATTAAATCATATTCTCCATAATGATATCATAATGAAAAGTGGAACAAATCAGAATATTTTAGATACTTATATCTAGATTTGCTATTTTGCTTATGTATTTAACATTATTTTACTTTAATTCCTGATTCATGACTTATGAGTAATACCTAATTTCATAGAATTCAATAATTTACTTAATGAATATTTGCATGTATGGGTTTTTGTTGGTTTGTGTTAATAAAATTATAAAATGTATAACTTTTTGACTTTAAAACTTTAATGTAGTAATATTTTACAAGGTTATTCATACAAGCCTAATAGTTATTTTCTACTAATTTGTTTAAACATTTTTCGCATTAATTAATAGTGTATACCAATACCTTTAGAAGACGATTGAACCTCTGGCGTGGACCAAAATTCTGCAAGTAAAATGGCAGTCATAATTATATTGTATTGAGAGTATACACTTGTTGATAAACATTGGTCACATTATTAATATGGTATACCAATACCTTTAGAAGACGATTGAACTCATTTAAACCTCTGGTGTGGACCAACATTTTGCAAGTAAAATGGCAGTCATAATTATATTGTATTGAGAGTATACACTAGTTGAAAATAAAAGTATGCGAGTGTTTTAAACAAATAGTAAGTGATATAACTTTTTAACAACTTTTTAAAGGACTGTAGTTATATTTAACAAGGTTATTTGCACAAAACCAACTATTTTTAACCAATTTGAGCATATGAATACTTTTTTAAGTAATTTGTTTAAACATTAGTCTCATTTAATAATGTAATAAATATAGCATAGCGAAATAGTAAATAGTAAATATACATATAATTTATTATTCGATTGCACCTCTTGTACGAACAATGTTCACTCAGTTTAAATTGTGAAGTATGTTTTTATTAGGCATTTATTAAACTGCTTACTTTCATAAATTCTATATTTCTTTAGATACCTACCTATATTGGATATTAACGAATAATGAATTTGCTTTAAAATGTATTTTACCATGCATATCTTGCATATTCCTTGCTAATTTGAATATACTAAAATGTACTAAATGGTTCAACAATTATTTGTCTTTATATCCTTTCTTATGAAAATTGTACACATTTCAAATCTATGTATATTTATTTATTAAAATTAAGTTAAAAGTTTTAAAATTGCCCTAAATCCAGACTGAAAATGCTTCTAAAAAAATATTCAATCCCGGTCTAAAACCAGTAAAACCTAACCTTATTCACCACTCAGAATATATTACGATAATTTTTACTGGTGCAATTGACATATTTAAAATACTTGATAATTATGTTTGATGTCATGATTAGGACTTTGATGTTGTTATAATTAATTAATAATTTTACAAGGTTTCTACTTAATAGAGCAAAAAAAAAATTCATAAAAATGTAGTTTAAAAATTAAATTGCTTACACAAATGTGATATACATATTTTACCAACGTTGTGTAAATATTGTGTGACTTCCATGTGATGATCCATGCTACAGATGTTAAACCCTCCTATGGGCCTATCTTTTTTTTTTGCTTAAGCCATTGGAGCAATAGGTACAATTATTTAAAAAAAAAAGGAAAAATTGATTATACATTAATAATAATTAAATACATTTTTAATAAATTCAGTCAAAATTGTCTTGTTCTAGACTTCTAGAGTATACATATTTGCTCATATTTTTATGCGTATATGTTTGTGTTTAAAGCTTTTAAGTCTCTAGCCTATTCTTACCTCTCTTCTAGCCATAACCTTTAGTCTTTAGTAAATGAATAATTAATTTTCATAAAATTAATGTAACAACATCCAAGCCCTAGTTATTATAATTTAATATTAGATTGATCATATCTTAATGTTGTGAAAAGGTGATGTTCTTTCAAAATCTGTTTGATTTTATATGCATCATTCAACATTATGTTGAACGCGAGGTTTAATCATACAAGTTTTTGAAATCAATGTTGTCATTTTGCAGCGTTTAGAAATGATATACATATTTAATATTAAGTTGATTCAAACATAATATGAAAGTATAGGTATGTAAGTATGTAATTAGTCTTACCAAGGCTTGGAACTTTAAGCATTTGCATATTTGTTTAGAAAGTGCATATTGAAAATCTGATTCGATACAAATTTGATCCATAGTAAGTATATTACAAATACCAAAATATTTGTTGCATAATTTTGAATATTTCGTGATTTTTTGTACAAATTCGCATATTTTAGGTATAAGAACATTAATTATATGCATATGATATCATAGCATTAACGTGAACAATTTTTTTTTTAGAAATTTATACTTTTATATTGTTTGACAAAATAAATTAATTCATCAACGGCTATTACTATTGCTCCCAAAAATAATATTATAATCTTTATATCTACTACTGAGAACTTTTAATAGTAATCGCTGACCGGGCCGTATTTATTTTTATTCAAATTTACCACTGGATTAATATTTTGTACCATGAGATAAAAAAATTGTATAATCGTAGGTAATTAAATACATAAGCGTGCGGTGTTAATTTTTTTTTTAAATTCTTCTAATTTTTTTTCAGACACCTACCTAATTTAAATTTTTAAATTTTGTATGTAAAATGTATTTTATTCAATAAATTGCATATTTTCCAAATTTTTACTGCATATTTTTAAGTTCCTAGCCTTGGTGATTATTTATTATTTAAATTTATAAAATATGAATAGGCACCTACATTAGTCAAAAATACAGATACAGGTACCTAACCTATTTGTATACATTTTAAATAATTGTATGCAGTATAATAACATTTATACAACAATTTGGTATAATTAGCTATTGCCTATTTGTCAACTGAATGATATTTATTTTTAATTTTATATTATTAATAATAAATATTATGTAAAATTATTGAGGACACAAACCCCTTCCATAGCATTGATTATAAATAAAACAATATCCAATATACATTATACATATGTAGACGGTATATTATTATCTAATGCCTTGTTTTTTTTTTTTTTATTATCAATAGAATCATGTGGCTTGACCTATGTAATATAAAATTAAATTAAGATAACAAATACACGTTTTATTACTAGTAAATTGGTAGTTAGATAGCGTACAGGTTATAAAGGTTGTAGGTACAACAATGCATCGGCGTAAAACAGAAGCACAAAGTATATTATTATTATTATTCATTGATGGCATTTTTACAAATTAAATACAAAATTCGAATGTAAATAGCTTCTTTAATTATCAACCAATAATTATGAATGATACATCAAAATTCATTAAAAAAAAATCCTGTAGGAATCATATTTCAAAAATATAGATTCCCATTTGAATTTTAAAAGTTACCCCTAAAATCTCCCCTTTTTAACTAATAAAAAAAAAAATTAATATCATATTAGTTTTGAGTATGTGATTCAAATAAGTTTTCACATAGGTCATTTTTTCCTAATTTGAGTAGATCATGCTGAAATCTGCTGTCACATGAAATTTGGAACACCCTGTATTGTGTTTGTTAAATCGAACAAATTGTTATAATTTAAAAATCGATTACCGATTTCAATCGTTCATTAGTTTCTATTTAAATATATTGTTATTTTTTTTATGCACCAATTTTGTTTTTTTTTTCAGTGTCACGTTTTGTTAACTCTCGTTTTATTTTTCGTGAGTTTGATTTAACGTGAGTACGTCCAAACTCTATCAGCCTTATAAATAAAACAACAAGTCACACCTCGCCCATATACATTGTTACAATATTATGTATTATTTATTTTTCGTTCGAGATTTTTTTCCGTCCGGTATTGACTTTTTTTTTTATCAAGAATTCGCTCCCGGTGTATTCTTGCTTACGCGCAAACAAACAAAGTTGACGAACGGTCATAATTCTTTTAAAAACTAAACTTTGACCATATTTTCTTATTTCGCATACCTTTTAAACAATTATATTAGACTGTTGACGAGGATTTATTCTTAGATACTTCAACAATTCTGCAGTGGACTAAAGACCGCACATTATAATATTTCCTAAGGGATATTATTAGAGATGGGAGCTCAGTAAATTTACGAACACTTTACCGATATTTTTTTTACCCGGTAAATATTTTTTACCGTTTTAAAATTTGAGTGACCACTCATTTCAATTGTTTTCATATGTAAAACAATGCTTTAGTGACTTCCATATCTCCACAATGCATGATATAAATATAACTAGTTATATCTACTTATATTTATATCATGATGCGCATTAGGTCTCCCAGAAAATAATTATTACGATGACAATTGTTTAACACCATCATATCTGATTTACTTCAAACAATATTTTTTAGTTCAATATAACTAATATAAGTTGCAGGTGCTGAGCACCCTCTTTCACCCCCGTTTGTGCGCCAATGCATACTCATAATATATATAAATATAATAATACTTGTAGTAAAAGGTGGTACGTAAGATATCCCAAAAAAATTTAAATTTTGTGTAATTACGGTTAAATTCACATCTCTAGATATTATATAGGTACTTACGGTAAAAGTTGGATATCCACATTATCCATTTATCGTATATTCATATTAAATTATTGCCGTAGATGGAAATGTATAATATAATTATTTGATATTATTTGATATTATAACAATATTATATATTATATATAGTCTCATTAAGTCTAATATGTTTTTCATTATATTATAATATTATTTCACCGCCGCCTTCCAACGACGTCTCATTTTTTCCCCATTAAAAAATATTTCCTGTTCAGTAAATATACTTTAACAATGTATTCATGTACGGTTTTTTTTTTTGTTATTTATTTTACAGAGTCTGTCATACCATAATGGCGTCCGAGTTCACTAGTTTTATGGCTGCCATGCTTTTTGCTATTCACCCCATACACACAGAGGCCGTAAGTATTATTCAGTTATTTATATTTATTATAAGCTATATAAAATCGCGTGTTTATTTTGGGGTATTAACACTGTAAACATTTTTATAATGAATAAAACCCGAAGGGAAATTTAATCTTTGACTACCATGACATTTTCATAAACTATATACGTCTTCATGACATGTATATATGCGTAAATATATATGTATATATATATATATAATGCAATTTAAAACGTTATCTAATTAAATTGAATGTACAATATACGCATGATACAACCCGGTCCCCTCATGAATTTTATTCTAAAATGTTTTATTCTTTTGATATGTTATTACAATAGGTACCTAATAAAATGTCCCAACAAAGTTAGTTCACTGTATTTTTTTCAATAAGTTATAAGAATAACTTATGGTTTGAATAAAAATGAATAGTTTAGACTAAATACTTAAACTAGGTAGGTACTAAAATCGATTTCACTGATTATAGTATTCATATCTATCAATATAAATACGCAAATACACAATATCATAGTCGATAATCCAGATTACTCGAGTAACGTTGTTTTAAATTTATTACGTGCGTTATGTTTAATTAATTAATTAACAATCATGGAGAGCACAGGTACATAGACATCCGTACAAATCATACGAATCTGAATTGTAATTATTTAGCTAACAATCTGTGGTCGAAGTTGGAAAGATCAAAAAACCAAAAAAACGCATAGTTGTTTTTTGTTTATGTTTCATTATTAAACTTTTGTAGTTTTTACGGATACGCGTTGTTTGATTTTGAACCGAGCGTATTTTTCTAAACCTATTTTTTGATATTAAAACAAAAGAGAAACTGCACTGTATCGATGGCTGTTATATTATATACCATCATAAGTATATCAATATAATATATCGATTATGATTGCGAACACTTATATATTTTAGTGAATTCCGTCGTTTCAGTTTACGCAACACACAGTCGTGTATGTAATATAAAATGTCACGTAATAGTACAAACATCCGTCTAGGGGGAGTTGATTTGCATACGACGTACGCCGTCCGTCGGGCGTAGACGCTGCGAGCGATTTGTGCGCATTAATAGGCTTGCGCCCTCACTAGTTGCGTGTCGAGGGTCTTGCAGGTTAAAAAAAAAGAAAAAGAAAGAAAGCAACGAGGGAGTATATAGTGTTTTAATATTATTTTTATTATAGCCTCTCGCATAATAACGCCCCATATATATACGTATATATGTGTATAGGGTGTCCCATAAAGTGCTCAACTTTTAAATCTGCTGCCATTTTTTAAATATTTGTCGGCAGCCCTGTTTTTAAAATTTCTTGTCGACAACTACTAATTAAATCGGAGTAAAAATAGATACAATAAATGATAAAAATAGGGCTGCCAACAAAATTAAAAAAAAAAAATGGATTCAAGAGTTCCGCACTTTATGGGACACCCTATATGTATACAAGAGAGTCGAGAAACCAACAACGATATTGATCGGGCGACCTATAATACCTATCCCGTCCCTCATTTGCTATATTATATTATTATTATTATTATATATCGTTCGGCCAAGATCTCGTAAGTCTGTAGGTTTCGTGTGTTACCGCGTATACCTACAACGCGACTGCGGGCCATAATATACCGAATGTCCATCGGCTGTATCGCGTACGTGCTCGGACCGCAGATACCGGGCGTCAATTTACCACCGTTCGATATATACCTAGGTATATAGAGTATATCATATATATATTTGCGATAGTGCAGCAGTTCGACCTACGCGACTGTTCTTCGGGCGTTTCGTCAGCCATTTCGTATTGACATTCGGTGATGGATGAATCCAATATGCCTAACGGTAGTCGCTCGCCAAACATAAACATCGACTACGTTTCAAAACTGATTTATTTGCGTGCTCGTAAAATTCCCCAACACCCCTGGAACGTCTGGTTTTTGTTTTAAACGCGACGTGTACCGCGTTATCGACGTCCGAATTTGCGCTTTGTCCGTAGTAGGTACAACGGATTATAATTTCGAATAGATTAATACACGCATTATGTCCGCACACGACTTTCGTACGTTTGTGTAAACGCCCCCCCCCCCCCCCCCACGGACTTTGTATTTACTTAAAACGAGCTTTGTCAGAACAAAACGAGTATTTAACTTTATAAAATTAATTTCCATTGGCCCGCACCACTGCCATTAGCAATATCATTGACAAACCTTCCATCGTCTATACCGCTGCTGCAGGTCTCGTTACCTCCTCGGGTCATGCGATTTACTCGTTAAAGAGAGAAAACGAAAATCTGATAAAATAACAATTTTATACGAAATTATTAATGTTTTTTTAAATGCGTACGAATTATAGAATAATTTGTACGATGATGTGTGTGTAGTTGTATTTAAATTCGTGTTCAGCGCAGTAAGTACCTGAGAATTTTCTTTTACATTAACGAATGTATAACAAACACAATATATTTATACATAATATGATAATTTCTCAAAAAACCGGTCGAATGTTTAAAATATTATGGAATTAACTTTTTGTTAGTCGTGGGTGTATGTATTCATGTACACGATATTATATTGAATTCACATAAAGTAAATTAAAACAAATGTTGTTGACAGTTACATATCGCTTGACGTCTAAGTATGAAAGCGACATATTTTAAGACCAGTTAGTATATTATTACATATAACTTTAGACGGCCGTGCAGTAATTTAAAGTTTGATATCAAACCATTGATGGACAGTAATTAATTTTTTTTACTTTTTTTTGCTGCCTTAAAGTTTTGCAGTTACACGCTATCGTTCTGCAATGTGAGAAAAAGTTTTGTACACAACTTTCGTCCCTACTCTGTTATACTGAAGCATAGTTTCAAAACTACGGAGTTCTGTAATCGGTAACTTAACAAATCCGTATTCTTGACAAAACGAAGATGTGGTGGAAAACACAATATAAGTGTATTTGAGACGGGGCGAAAAAATAAATAATTAACAACCGAGTATAGAGATAAAAGATGAATTTTACCCTTCTCGATGAAGAGATTAATTGGTTTGACCCCCACAGGTGTAATTGAGTTGTTAGTTGCGAAAAACGAGTGCTCTACAAATACAACCCAAGCGTCGAATGACTAATGAATAATATATAAATGCCGAGTGAAATGTCGTTTGTTCGGAAGTCCACAGGGATTCTTTTCAAGGACATACGGAAAATATCCTGCGACCCGTTTAGTGTATAATTAAACAAACACAGAAAGTAGAGGTTTTTTTTTATAAGTCTTCAGCTGCGCCAAGTTCTGCTGTTATTTGAATATTTAAAAGTGAAACTTCGTTGTCGCTTTACAAAAATGATTTGTTCATTTTTTTTCTCTACCCACCACCATTATACAAAACTTAGATGTACATTATTCACGATAAGTACCCATCTTTATTATGTGTATTTTATTCGTAGGTACATAAACAAATCAAATTTACAATTTCTTAAGTAGTTTTGGGTGTTTCGCTACCGCCGCATGTCACTTATCTTTATGTACCTACTCTGGAAATGAAAAATACTGACACAAATCGATATTTTTGAATTGCGCAAGGATTTTCTAATATAATAATAATATATACTATTATGATTGACGTAACAAAGGCAAAACCAAAGACTCGACGAACCATTTGCGAATTAATTTGTGCCCGTTTTCGAAGACTATATTATATTGGCTTGCATTTGATTTGGGTAAAACACACATGCCATAAATCATCACGGCAGACATCTGACAATAGGTGTGGTTTGGTCTACTGATTTTCGTATACAGATATCGCATATATCTGTATGTATTCCTAAGCGATATCAGTTTTAATTATGTGTCCGTAAAATGTACAATCGGTAAACGACAGAGAGAGAGAGAGAGAAGAAGAATATACATTTTATTCCAATGTACATTATTACAACATACCAACGGGGTAATCCTAAATTAATATCTGGCAGTGAAACGTCCCCAGGCGAGTGGGTCAATTATTGAATCTGATTCCGTAATACCCATTGAAACTTCCCATTCGTAAAACGATAGTATTTTGACATTTATACACAACAATCAAGCAGTATTACCATATAATTATTACCAAAGTTTTCTAAAAAAAAATATTATACCAGTGTTTTAATCGTTTTAATCGATCTGAAAGTTGAGATATTATTTTAGAAAATTAGTAAACGCACTTATTTTGTGTTTGTGTACGATACAATAATAAATAATTTTGATTTAAAATAAGAATAATGATTTAGGTACCTGTAGTATATTATTTACCATTTTAATAAAATATAAAGTATAAAAATAAATTAATTGCATTAATGTACCTATGGTCAGAATCGTGTGTATTGTTTTTTAAACCTATTCATGGTCTACAAAAAAAAATGCTAAACTATTTTAGTAGGCGCTCAAGAGCCGAAACCACTTAGTCCGAACGGTAACTACTATTTTAAATTTCATATCCCTAACATGTCACTTAACGCGTATGCTTGTTTATTATATTATGTTAATAACATTAAAAAATCCATGTAACGATGTACAAACATTTTTGCAGTTTGAAAACAAAAATATGAATAAGTATAAAAAAAACTTTGAAATATCAATAAGCTTATGAATGAAATATTAAAAATTTTGTTTTTATAGTCTCGTTTACACAAAAGTTCTTTTAGAGACCGGTGGAAAAGGAATGTCATACGCTTTTATTTATATTCATATCCCTTTTATAATTAAACTTAAATATTTCCGCCTGCTATACTTCAACTTTAACACTTAAATTATGTAAAAAAAAAAAACGTTACGTTTTCGAATTAAAACAATTCTAAACAATAATTTTGTGTTTGTACTGTGCGTAGTAAAATCATTATATTATAAAAACCATCCCTATTATATAGGTCAGCGAGTAGTTTAGCATAACAATTACAGACATGTTATTAAATTTCGGAAGATTATAATTTCGCTTTGTTCTTCTGATTATGAGATGAGAAAGGATGATTCTAACTAATTGTCATTTAACATGCACGGCTGGGTCATTAGCAAACGACCGGACGATGCAGTGAACAATATAAAGGACAGTATAGAATTAGGCAGTATAAACATTGTTAAAAGAGTAGCTTCAGTAAGAAAATTGTTTATAAAATATATCCAGAAATATGAATTCAACAACGAAATAATAGTCAACTGGATTATTAATTTTAACTTTTTAAGTTCAAACCCGCTATTTTTAAATACCATTTTCTGAAAATCGCTTTTATTTTGGGCTATAGTTGAATAGATGTTATACGAATAATGTTATGTTGCGCCTAACAAATTCCTATAAACTCACCCATACTACCTAATTAATAATTTTAATATTTGGTTTTACTTATGTCTTATAGGTGACTGGTGTGGTGGGACGAGCAGAGACACTGTCGTCAGTGTTTTACTTATCTGCGTATCTGTTGTATACAGAAGCAACCAAAAGGAAAAAATATTCCGGTAAATAAATTATGGTCTTGTGATTTTTTTATTTCAAACGTGAATAAATTAAAAATATAATAAAACTTTGTGCTTATTACTGCTTTGTGTTATTAAAACTCAATGATACAATTATTGCCTTTCAGGATGGAAGCCTCTAACACTGTCTGTGGTTTGCTTGTGCGTAGCTATGCTGTGCAAAGAACAAGGGATCACAATAGCCGGAGTTTGTGCTCTTTATGAAGTTTTCGTCGCACAAAAGGTAAAATTGGTTCATAAATATTTCGATAATGCGCTTTACTAGACTAAGGACTCAGATTTACAATCGACAAGTTTAATCAATATAGTTATTAAATTGTATTAGTGACAATACAGATTTTAATTATAGTTTTCAAATATCAATGTAATGATTAATTTATAATCAACACAGCACTTTATAATATGTCTTAAGACTTAATTTTTTTTTTTTTTTTGGGGGGGGAGGGGGTGACAGGGGGCCAATGTAGTTGTTAGTTTTCAACAATTTTTTTAGAAAGATAATAATATTTAATATTCCACACTGAAACAATATTAGAATATTTGAAATAGAAATTACTCCAACTGTCTTCAGCTGTTGTTTCTCAGCAACTGTATATTTTCTATTAGCATAGTTTTCGTGATTGTATTCCAAGGAATTCTAACAGATCTTTGCGGTCCCCACGCATTCCATAAGAGGAACAATTAAATATATTATTATTTATTATAAAACTGTGCTACTCGTGGACGTATTATATAGGCACGACTAGACCTAAATAATTGCAATGGACGCTAAAACTGTGTGAATATCTCACACAGACCCGCCAACAATATAATATGCATTACACGAGAGAGCTTTTCTGGCATGCGTTTTTTACTCTAAGAATTAAAACGTTGGCCACGGATGTTACTTTGGTTTTTTTTTTTTTTTGCGAGGACGGAGCATAATAAAATATGATATTATATACATATATCTGACCCTGTTTGCTTAACCCTTTTCCGGATATAGCATTAATTCTTGTTGGATTAATCCCCATACACCCTGTATTCTTGTTCTGCTCCGTCGAGGTATATATACCTACCTCTTGTAACACGCTATTCATAGTGGAAAAAAATGCCCGAGAACTTTTGTAAATAGAGATTTTTTTTTAAAACCCTTTGGCTAATATTTTTTACAACCGGCTTAATTTTTTCCATTTTTACTGTGATTAACCGTTTAGGTTCCGAGCGGCGGAGCGAGGAAGTTATTGGTTTTATAAATAACTAATTATAAAGGTTTTTTTTTCAATTTGCATTAACTCTACGGACACGAAGACTGACGAGTTTAAAAAATAATTTTCTATCCATTCAATGAGTGTTATTTTGAAATTGGCCACAGTCATTATTTTATTAGCTATACTACGTATATAGGTAGATAGTGAAAATCCAACGCTTTTTTTTTTTAATTATTATATTTTAATTCAATTTCGCATCTACTTTATTATACAAATTAATTGTTTATTATTCGATAAAAAATTGTATTTTTTTGCCATGTATTTCTCTACCTATTAAAACAAATTAATTGTATTGAGTGGAATATTATATAAAATGTTACTATATAACATCATGTCTATTCAAACTTGTTTATTGTTGTACAATTGGTTGTAGGTACCTAAAGTATAGTTATGAAATATTATAGTATTACCATTGTACCTAACATATTCTGGTTACTTCGTATTGTAACGGAATAAGCACGTTGATGGATTCCATTCATCGTTATTGCGCAACGAAGGATGACTTGAGAATAAATCGAATTAACTCACTTCACTCTCGTTCAAGACAATGTTATTAATCCGGACATAAATCCTGCGGTATTAATGAAATTGCTTATACGCATCTCAAGCAGGCAATAAATTTGTCGTCGAGCATTTAGCGTCGTCATTCGAAAACCGTTGAATAAACTAAATCAGAAATATTTGTCCACGATAACCGGAAGTAATGTGACTGCCAAAACGGCAATAATATCAGTACCTGGATAGGAAAAAATGACTTTTTACATTTTCAAAAAAATATATTGTGACGATAAATACCACCGAAACGTTTTCGTATTATTTTATTCAAATGGTGACGAATCGGAAGTAATTTTGTGTCGTATATTTTTGCAACTCCTTTTTTAGTAATTTGTCTTTTATATAGGTACTATGTGACATTCAATGACTCGTCTGAATCTAAAATGTATTTGAAAAAAAATGTTTATATATTAGTATTGATTTTTGGGTTTACTGGGTACCTATATATAATATGATTGAAAACAATTTATAAACTTGCTTAGTCGTTTGATTATTTTTGTAATATAATTACATTTTAACATTTCAAATTGATATCGATTTTAATCAATTTGTGTACATAAACATAATATGTGTCGTTTACGCTGACTAAAAATAAATTTCTTAAATGTCTAAAATCAGATTATCAAAAGTTTGAAATTTTCCTTTTGAGTGTTTAATACAATGTGTTATCAATTGATTTTACAATTCTTAGTACAAGATCCCGTTAAGTCTTCGATCGTAAAAACCATAGTCACAATGGTTACGATTGAAATTTATGTAGGACCGAAAAACTTTTAACATCCCCTCCCCTAAAAAAAAAAAAAAAAACCATTATTATATTGGATATTACGCCATTAAATCTTTTTTCCTTTTTTTACTGCTGTCCAACAATAGGAGAACACAAGGATAAACTCATGTGTGCTTATATACGTACAACAACAATAAAAACCCTATGGTGACCCTCGACCGGAGGATCGATTTCACTGGCCTGCTAAGTATGTTTAAAAATAAATGAAAACCGTATTTAATCATAAAGCATATTATTTATTATAACATTTTTTTTTCTGAAATTGGAAAATGCCCTGTATTTTTTTTTTGTGGCTTTGTTGGGAACAATTGCATTTAAATATTTCTGTGTTCCCGGGATGTCACGGAGAGATAAATTATTAAGCTAGCGCTTAGTTTCTCGTCCCATATCCATAGTATTTCCGTAGAATTTATAAGCTATAAACAGGAAATGATATATACCTACGTGGACTGAAATTTGTGTTAACAATGTTTTCACTTGACGTCCTTTACAAACAAATCGTCGTACAAAACGAAACGTGGATGGTATTATCATTGCAGTTGCTGGGAAGTTTACACAAATGTCCCTGTATAAATATAATATAAATGTTCAATCATCATCATTATTATATACATATACCTGGGTACAAAATCAATTTTACATTTTATTACATATGAGTTAAATATTTGTTTTGCGACTAGCAATATTTTTCCATATAGATTTGATATTAAGATTAAAAAAAAAATGTTGGTTTTTATAATACTATAATAGTTATTATGACTTCATATAACCATGATCTTACTACAGGTGAACTTTGATTTATTATAAGTATTTATGCGTTTTGTTTCAACTCAAATAAGCAGTAGGTAGGTACTGCATAGGTATAATAACGGTGCGACCATAATACTATTATATTTAATTCAATAATAATATGAAACTCAAAATATAATAATTATATATCGTGTTAACGTGCAGTTCTTAAAAGTTTAAATAATGTAAGTACATTTTTAGCACAACTTAGATTTAAAAATCGAAAGCCCAGTTGCTGATAGTATTTCCATTTTAAAATAATTTGAACTTAATGTATTTGTAATATGTACATTTAATAATAAGTAAATAATATGAAAACTAATAAATATTAAAATGCTATGAAGAGTTTCTTTGAATACATAATATTATATTATGCTGACATTGTAACGTAACGACTTAAACTGAATATTTTATTGAAATTCGAAATATTTATGTATTCTATTATTTATGATACAAATAGTAAATACTTACATTAAATTGGTTGTAAACCTTTTACAACAAATATGTAGTTGCTGTCTTGTAACATCTCTAAGTTCAAAAAATCTCATCAATAATAAAATAAAATGTTCTGCAGTTTTGTTGTATATTCTGAAAAATGTCGTATTTTTATAACTCACAATTTTGATTTCAATCTTTTTCTTTGAATATTATATGGTTTATCGCTCTAAACATTTTTCCAACAGCCGAATAATATTGTGTTAATATAATATTATTATACAATTATTATCAAGTAACATTTTTATGTGTATTTTTATCTTACCCTTTTCCGATAGTTATACTTAGGTACTGAGAATAGTTAACGTTTGTAAAACAAAAAAAAAAAAATAAAACGGCTTGTTGGAAAACATTGTAGCATGTCCCTGGAGGATTGTATAAAGTTTTAAAACTATCGAAGTTATCAGTGAAATTGACGTTAACACAATACTTTATATATAATGTACGATAACAAAAATACAAAAAATAAAATCAACGAAAAAAATCAAAAATCAACTACAACTTCAACATTATAATAAAATATCAAACGCGTAAATCGTCTGATTTTTTTTTTACTGATATTTCGTCATCAACCCATCTCCACCATTGCGGTATTGCAGGTTATGTACAGTATTATGCGCGACATTGAAAACCGATTCAAACCATGTGGTTCTTTACCGAGTTGCACCGCTGCACCGAGTCATGATATTGTGTTTAAATACAAACATTCCTCACCGTGACGAAAAACACGGACCGGTAAAAAAAAAAAAAAAACGTTTGCGTGTTTGGAACTAGTCAAGGGTTACAGCAAAGACGGAGAGTTGATTATAATATATTATAAGAGCGCGTCGTTTCTGTTTAGGCATTAACGTTAATTTTTCACTTTTATGGACGACGAGGAAAAGTTTTCTTTTTTCCTTTGGTACTATACATATAGCCTCGACCGCCGCCGCTGTCTATCCGTTGGTGTTTAAATTTTAAGCCTTCCATTCCACCACCACCCTTACCCGCAACCCTTCCCGGTCACGATGCCTCCACCGACGACGCCACCACCACCGCCGCTGGGAAATTATATTTATTATTCACGGCGGTGATATACACGACGCGTGTATAATATATACGTATACTTTCTCACAATACCAAGTATAGTGGCGGTGAAAAGCACACGAGTTAATTACGAAAGTAAAACGACACGACTAACAACAGTAAGCCTCGTCGTCCCCACATATATACATACCGTGTTTCTTCACCCCTCGTGTGCTTATAGTCTTCGGCATCGTCTTGTGGGGGGGGGGGGGGGCGGAAGACGACGACGACGACGCTTACGATTTTCTCGTGCAGCTCGCATGCCGTTCGCCCTAAAAATTGAAAAGTTTTCACAGTCAAGTGGTGGACCTCAGCTGCTGCTCG